ATCCAGTCCATAAAGAATAATATCATATTTATATGATACATGTATACAGTATTATGTAATCAATTATTTTGAAAACATGCTTTAAAAACAGCAGTCTATTCACTTTTGCATAAATCAGTTCTACTATTTTTTGTTTAACTACTCATAATGTTTTGTGTAGGTATGTTTTGGTTTTGAAATTTGACAATCAAAAAACATTTCAGATTTCATACGTATGTTATACAACTTGATTTGAAATATTTAAACATAACTTTGCATGTTGAACATTCAAATTCTTATTCTAATTTCATGAAAAAATACCATAGTTGCATATCCCTTTGATAAATTCAACCACACTGTTTCTCGCACTCATGTGAAACAGTTTTCAAAGTAAATTTTACACAGATTATTTAGCAACTAAACAACACTCACTTAATGTTGATATCTGCTTGGTGTTCCAATAAAAACAACGCACTCGCTGCATCCTGTTTCATAATGGCTTGATGTAACAACGTCATACCGTCGCTCATAGTGTGATTGATGTTCGCGCCCCCAGCTAACAACTGAGCCGCTATCTCGTGCAGTCCCATCCATAGCGCCAGTCCAAGTACAGTTTGTTCTTGACTGTTCACTAAGTTTAGATCGGGGATAATCTGAAGACTGTTGTTACTGTGCATGGCGTTGGCTGAGGATAAGAAAAACAGATTATTTCAATGCTGAGTATGGACGAAATACATTATTCAATGAGTGATACATACCTTGATGTACACAGCTAAAAAATGTCATGGTTTCCAGACTCACAAATTTTCTAGACAAAATCAAAGCAGTTTGGTGATGTTCATATCATGGACCCAATGAAATGTTAGGTAAATAGACAATACACTTTGCATACATAATCACATGAAGTTCATTTCAAACACAGCCAAAAGTGACAACAGAGTTTCTTTAACCATCTCAAAAAAATAAATTACCTCTGTGTTCAAGAAAGACCGCTACAACATCTGTGTGTTTATTTACAATAGCAATATGTAAAGGTGTTTGCTGCGATGCTTCGGCTGCTGTATTGTCCTTGTCAAACCGACTAATAGGTTTTGTCACATCAAATTTTGTTTGGGCATTTGGATTGGCTCCTTTCATGAGAAGCTGTGATGTCAGCTGTGCAAGGCCATAATGTGCGGCAGTGTGAAGCGGAGTTTCACCCTGCAAATAAAAGATATCAGATGACGAACTTGTACGCATGTAGATATCCCAGGAATTGCCAAGTTAAGCCTTTGTAATGTCTTTTTTTTTTGTAAAAGTCATCATCTTTGTTCATTTGAGTTTCATGTCATATAAAAATGAATCTTTGCCTTAAATTTTTGGTTTGATCAGCTGGTTTTATACCTTCACCTTAATCATATAAATCAAAAACACTGCTTCCAATCACTTGTAACTGAGATTATACAAAATTGCTAATTTGTGTAGCACCCGAGTCTAATTCAAATACTGTGGAATACTTTATTTTCGCTGGAATTAATTTTCGCTGAAAAGGCTTTTTGGGCGTTTCGTATGGAATTTATTTTCACTAATTTTTGATGAGTTTAATGTGAAATATAGGAAAAAAAAGTATATTCGCTGGATTTTATTTTCACGGAATCATCCTTTCAGCGAAAATAGCAAAAATAAATTCCAAGCGAAAATAAAGTATTCTACAGTAGATTAGTTTTATTTTAGTTCACTGAGTACAAATGTGTGGTTACATTAATTACTAGCATAACTTACTTGAAGATTAGCATGACCGACTTTAGCATTGTGCTCGACGAGAAACAAAGCAGCTTCCTCGTTCCTGGCTCTGCTTGCCAGATGCAATAGTGAGTCACCTACAAAGACAGTGTGAAGAGTTGAAGGAAATGGAATGAAGATAATAATAATCAATGAGAAAAGTGTGGTACATCGTGTATTTAATTGGCCAAAAAAGGGGTAGATGTCTTACCAGTTTGTGCATGGATAGCATCAGGACTACTTCCACGTGTTATCAACCTCGCTGCAAAGCTGTTGTCATCATATTGCTGGTCTCCTGTGGTGTTATCTAAAGCCAGCCATAGTACAACGTCTCCTTCATTGCTCCTTAACTCCAAGTCAAGTCTACATACAGAGAAATCAAGTACAGTGTATGAGAACATCTTATTAACTTTTGGCACATTTCAAAAAATAAACCTGTGAAATCTTTCCAATACTCTTTTTTTAAAATTTTGATCAAGAACTGTGGGTAATTAATACAAAAATTTTGCACCTAAATCTTGGCGAGAAAATATATGTTTATTAAATGAACAAATAATATTATGACAAAATGTATTTTCAATCCATATAGGCAGTGCACTATAACCCTTTCTCTATCCATATACTCACTGTTTGTATCCTAGCAACAAGGTGAAGACAGCATCATTTCGTGCTGAAACTGCTCTATGTAATGGTGTCCTGAAACAAAATAAGTCATTGAATGAAACATCATAGACTCAAAAAGCAAACTGACATACATATGTGTTGCATTATTCAGCATATGAATGGACTGCGTGATCGCTTAGTATTACCATATAGACAAGTTGGTTGGTATTTGGGTGGTCAGTGTATGAACTACCTACTACATGCAAACAACATTGTGGATGATCTGTCCTCCTGTTAAATGGCTCAACTGTCCGGTTGATGAATGTATGCAACTACACATAGTGTTATTTTTAATCCTAACAAGTCAGTTTGTATTTCAATATTTCCACCACAATGTAGGGTTCATCATTAGTCGAGTTTGTAGAGAGACACTCATGGGTGTTGTCATAAAAATTTGTAATGAATCTCTGATGATATTAATTGACAGATGAATAGTGTTCATGCCAGTGTGAACAGCCTTATTCGCTGATTTGCCCACTGCATATGTCATCATCATCTTTTTGAAGATTTACTGTTTACTGTGGTCCGTTCGTACCAAAGGACAAATTATTTGTATTTGTGTTACAATAATGCACTCAGAATCTTGCTTAACCTTGGTCTCAATACCAGTATGGTGCAAACCTATTTTTATAATCAAATTTGCTTGTTTGGGCGAAGAGAAGGAAGGCAATGGCTAACTTTTACTTAAGAGCTACGACTAGTAGAAATACGTTGATTGACTATATTAATTAAATGCAAATATAATGAATTTCAGCAGAGCATTTAATAGTTGGTGAATTTTTTTTTAACATTGACGTGTCTGTATTTATTTATTTATTTATTCACTCCTTTGACGATGTACTTGCTTTAGTTTTAAATTGTGTGAGAGGGCTTTTGAATTAAAGAATAATAACAAAAAATCCGTGAGGCTTGATTGAGAAATGACATGGGACAGATGAACAAAGATGAAACCCAAAAAGTATAAAACAGTACAAAATCATTGAAGCTGAATTTTGTAGAAACTCCATTACTACTACATTACTACTTCCATTACTACTGAATTACAGAACATGCCTAACCTTCCATTGTTATCTTGCATGTTGGGATTGGCGCCATACTGGAGTAATAATGCCGCTACCCTCGCCATACCGTCTATGACATCTCCTTCAGCTATGCCAGGGTTATAGGAGCCAACTATGTGCAAGGCTGTTTCCTTCTCTCTGTGACTTGCTGAATTACTCTTGGCACCATTTTTGACAAGGAAACACGCAGCAAATTCATCACCTGTGAAAAAAAAATCAACAACGTATTTTTCAGATAATTATCATGGTTAAACGATGAAAAATTATGAAATTCACAAATTCCTCAAAATGGCAATCTGAGATCATCATCATACTTATTGAGGCTTGTTGAGGCTATGGGACTATTACTGTCAAATACTTTATTCCTACATGGAATTTATTTTCGCTATTTTCGCTGAAAGTATGATTAGTGAAAATAAAATCTAGCAAATATATTTTTTGTCCTTTATTTCACATTCAACTCATCAAAAATCAGTGAAAATAAAGTCCATACAAAACACTCAAAAATCCTTTTCTGCGAAAATTTACTCCAGCTTAAATAAAGTATGTTACAGTATGTCAAATATTTAACGATAAGAATAACTTCAAAAATTTGCCCCCGATATGGTTTTGTTGACTCCCATGTGCGAAGCACAAAATGGGAGTCTTTGCAGTTAGTGTGTCTGTGTGTGTGTGTGTATGTGTGTATGTGTGTCCGACTGTTCCACTGCTATCTCAAGAACCATACATCGGTTTTTGATGAAACTTGGTGCATAGATGCTCTGGGCCAATGCACAGATTTGATTAGGTTTTGGTAAAAATCCATGCTCGTTAATTACCTAATTTGCATGATAATTAGCTAATTTTTAGCTATTCTATGACTGTTCCACTGATATCTAAAGAACCACTCATTGGATTTTGATGAAACTTGGTACATAGATGCTCTGAACATATGTGCAGATTTGATTAGTTTTTGGTAAAAATCCGAGCATATTAATTACCTAATTTGCATGATAATTAGCTATTTTTTAGTGGTTCCATGACTTTTCCACTGATATCTAAGCATTGGATTTTGATGAAACTTGGTACATAGATGCTCTGAACTAATGCTGGGTTTTGATTAGTTTTTGGTAATAATCCGTGGATACTAA